GATTTAGGTGGACTGTTTGGAAGATATGGAACAGCACTGTCAGGAGACTATGGTATGTACCAGAGCACCAATCTTGGGCCCTGGTATGATCTGGAGAACCTCACCAGACCCAGACACACCAGGAGCCTACTGGGAGGGGAAGGGCCATCAACGTGGCAGAGGAAGCTGAGACTATGACATCTGGGGCAGACATGGTAGCCTCCGCGCCTGACATGTGGAGGAGCCAGGTCATGGGACCCCAGAGCCAGTCTTTCTTGGCCAGGAGGAGCTTGGCTGGAAGATAAGTCTGTGCTGGCCCTAGCAAAGTTTCCCTGGAGCGGGGGAGCACAAGCAAGGCAGAACTTGTGCAAACCATGCAGAGGTGTGAAACTGATAATAGAAGCTGGACCAATGGACTAGAGATGAAGTGAAACTAAGTAGGACATCAAAAGCCTGCAGTCATCCACAGGCAAGATGACTCTTAAAGCCACAGTGAAGGAAAAGTGCTACCCAGACTGGTAAGATGGACATTTAAAGGGTTTTATGCCTGGGACATTGAACTTGGGTAATAGATAAGGACAAGCCGGTTAAGGCCTCCTGTCCCATAGACTTAAAGAAGAAACCAGCTCTCAGTGGATGTAATGAATTGATGAGCAAAATTAATTAGTCGCGGCAAGTAAGCCAGTTAGTTGACTGGACTATTGGGGAATTGATTAATGGAATGCTGACAGACTTTATAGCCAAGAATCTAGGGGATGGATAAAAGAAATGAAATGATGTGACAGCATGCAGTCAATAGGAGGGGACCTTAGTTGATTGATATAGCTCAACTGGAAATTGATGTTGTGACTCTAATCAATTAAAGTAAGAATAAAACTGGGTAATTGCTAAGAAGATGACTGGCTGGTTACCAGGTCTAAATACACTGTCCATGGGAGGACGAGCCCGAGAGGCTGGTCACATGCTGGTGCCTACATAGGTGTGGTAAGGGCAAGGTGTAGGGGAGGCAGAGCCCTGTGAAGGGCGATCACGAGCCATCCTACTCACCAGTGGTAACAAACACCTCTCCTCTCCTTATTCTCTTTCTTCTTTTGAACATCAAGGCATGTTGGTTGAGCATTAAGGGAGGTGGTCTAGAGTGAAGGTGAGTGGCAGCTGATCAGTCATCATCAAGCATGAAACTCATGTGGTACAAGAGAGGAAAGGTCCATTTGGCACATAGATTGGAAGTCTTAGACTCTAGACAGCAAGAAGTAGGAAAAGAAAAGATTGTTAAGAACTTGAGCTTCCCTCTGTATCAGTGTGTACATTTTCTGAGCGTGTCAAGTATTTCATAGCCCAATACATGGCCACACTCTGTCTTTTGGTAGGTGCATGTAAATTTGGAATACTATATCCTCTGTGGCCAGCTATTGGAAAAGACCCATAATGTATAGATTTGTGAAAGACTGTTACCTGAATTTACATTGGAGTAAGCTCTACATCTGGCAGGCCAAATCAAGTCAGCTATAAATAATGTACAAATGCTTGCTGAGGGAGCTATTCAGCCTGTAAAAGTAATTGATACTCAGTAATTCAGAAAGCACAATCTGAAGAGGACACAAGAATTTTTCATGCTCCTAGGAAAAACTTTACTGTTGTAAAACTAGGCCCTGAAAATTGACATTCATGTTTCTGCTGTGATTCTATAACCTAGTTGCAAATTTCAATAAGAGTTTTGTGGAGAAAACAAAGTTAATAATTGCAGGCCTGTTGAATATTATTATGGTATATCATACCACACAATGAAACCTTCTATGAAATATTGGTCTGAGAAACTACCATATTGTTTAAATGATGACTGCACTGAAATCACAGTTATTTCTAGTCTGAATAGATTAGTTCATTTCTCATTCTGCAAGGCATGCCTGTTGTGGAAATAGTTCTTCAATATTCATTTATCAACAATGCTTTTATAAATGACTTTAAATTTCTTCCAAGATAAGACTGGTAATCAATTCCCTTAAAGACTACACCAATGTTAAAATATTAGGCTAACAATGCTACATATTTTTAGTAAAATGGTAAAATACTTTGCTCTAAGCCATCATGATCTGGGGTCATTTCTTAACTTAGAATTTACAGAGGACTTTTGAGTTTTCTGTATACAGACTGTTTTAATGGAGCACGTGGCACTTTTATACACTTGGAGCACATGACTGGGAGTGGGTGGGGGGGAGGGGTGCTTTAATTAGAGTGGCTCTGAGAGCCAGAGGCACCTTTTCAGGAGCTGGTGATGACTTAGGACAGTGAGTGCAACCGGTAAAATGTGTTATAGAGTTCTCATATACATCTGTGATGTTCCTGAGAGGTGAGCGTGCCCAGGAAACTCAGGTCCATGTGAAGTTTAAAGGCCACTTAAATTAAGCATAACCCTGAACCTGCTACACCTTTGTATATGCCACATATTGGGATACCTGAACCTCTTCAGCTTCCGCAAGAGAAGGCTGAGAGGTGATCTTGTGGCTGCCTACAAACTCATTTGGGGGGGGGGGGGGACAGCAAGAAATAGGGGATACAATGTTTACCAGGGTGTCTGTTGGGGTAAATAATGGCCATAAACTGGAAGAGTAAATTCAGATTGGACATCAGGAAAAAATTCTTTACAGTGAGGATTGCCAACATGTGGAATAAGCTTCCAAGCGGGGTGGTGCTGTCCCATTCCTTGGAGATGTTTAAAAGGAGACTGAACAGACACCTGGCTGGGGTCATATGACTTTCCTGCCCAGGGCAGGGGTTTGGACTCAATGATCTAATAGGTCCCTTCCAACCCTAACATCTATAAAATGATGAAACATGATTGTTATATATGAGGTGCATCGTTTTTAGGCCTCCGTTTTCCTCTTTAAGTCAGAACAATAATATCTAGCTAGCTAATGGGGAGTTTTAAGCTTTCTTAAGTGAAATGCTATTTGTGTAGTATTATTAAGGCCAGTTAGTGCCAAAGACAGCACTAGATCCTGGGAGCTGGTGCTCACCTTTGGCACAGGCTTAATTTTCACAACCTCATACACTCCAGGAATTCTATACTAGTATGTGCTGAAATATAATGCTTGCTATATTTGGGATTTAATTATTCCAGTACTGTAGTGAAACATGCATTCAATCAGATCAATAATGCCCCACTTAGTTATATCATTAAAAAGGCTGGCAGTGCATGTCAATGTGTAGCTTCTATATTGGTCAGTTCTTGGCATATGAACTGGCTTTTTTTTAATGATCATATCAGATAAATTACAGATGAAATAATAGAAGGGCAAAAGAGTTGGCATGGATGAACCAGACACATGAGCGTACTGCAGGTGTCTTATTTGATTATGGCACTCATCCCAGTTCCAATGGCCTCTGCTGACACTGTTTATAGCAAGTTACAACCTTTCATGTTATTACTGGGAGTTTTTTTCTAAGGTGACTTCAAACTGGGGTGAGAATGCAGTCCTTTACTATAAACAGTCTTATTGTTAGCAGCATTAACAATGAAATCTATTTGTACATTATTTGGGATTTAAAAAGATTTTCCTTTTCTTATTTCTATATTACTTTCAAGAGCAAGGTCTTACATCTTTTCTGCAATTCTCACCACATGATTATGTCCCTGTGCTCAGAAACCTCTGAGCGATGATTACAAAATTCTTCTGTTTTATTTTTGTCCTTCAGTACACACCAATTCTGACTGGAGTTGGCCTGTAGAAGCCTTAGGCCATTTAAACAAAGGTTTCAGATGGTATCCACTAAAAAGAGAGAAATAGGAAAAGGATTGGAAAGCAAACGGGTCCACTCAGTGGATTTACCATTAGCTCTGACACATTATTCGCCAGGCATTAAAGTTAATCAAGACAAAAAATCAATCAAATTTTATTTGATCAGAAAACTGGTACTCAACTTTCTACTGTTGGCAATAAGATGATAACTGTGCATGTGTGATATGACATTGTAGTACCTCACCAAAGTGAAAGGGCAACACTTGCCATTAATCAGTACTCTATAATCAGTTATAGAAAAGATTGCCTACCTCCACTAATAAAAGCTTGTTTCAACATTTTCAATAAAGTATTTGTTCAAGAGCACTTAAAGGTAGCAGTAACATAAAGCGTTGTTTCAAATATCAGCCTGTCATTCTCAATCACTTTTTGAGGGAGAGGAAAATGAAATGTGTCCTTTTTAATGCCTTGTATTAACTGAAGAATGAAACTGTGATGTAATGATTGAGCTGAAACCACAATGTTCAGGGGCACTAGTGTTAAATCACCTAGCTCAGTCTTTCTATGTTAGAAGATTAGTCCTGGCTGGAATTAATGTGCCTCTGTGCTAGCACATCATGTTTTCCTTGGGAAGGCTTACTCTATGAATTCTTTTATGGTAGCTCAGGATTCATAATCTCAAACAATTCGTGACGTTTCAAATATTTGCTTAGAGATGCAGTCAATAAAAGATGACTATTCAACAACACTTTGACTCTCAAACTCATGCTAAACTGCGGCCTACTCACAAAAATTAAAATACCAAATACTAATGCTAACTGCATAGTGCAAGAGGATGTGAGTTGATGGCTAAGCCATCTAAGAAGAAATAATAAGGTATCCCTTACAGCTTATTTTACTGTATTCATGATGATATTAAGCAGGCTCCCAGTTGTCTGGTATGTGACCATGTGAAACGTATATCTTTGATTAATTAGTATGGTAAATATTTCTCTTGCAATTAACTCATGTTATGGACAGGAAGGGTCATTCTCCATATGTGATAGGTATCTCCTCCTGATTTACTTCTGTTATGGCTAGTGATTTCCTTGATTTCCACCCCCTGACCCCAGGACAGTCCTCCAAACCTTGTGTTTTCCCTGGTTGTTAATAAGTTTCTTGATATGTTCCAGACTTAATAGAAATGGATAACTTCTTGTCACTGAGGAAGGTAATTCATTTAAATTGGAACTTTCTGATAACCAGTAATGAGCAGTTTGATTAACAGGATTTTCCTGGCAGTTACTGCTTGGGACTGTTCCTTGATTTATTCAACTAAAAGAATGCCTTGAAGATGCTGGTCTAAGGGTATAAGAATGAAGTGAAAATGGCTAACAGTATGCGCTTCAAGAGTGAGAAATCTCTCTGACACCAACTACTGCTGCACCCCAGCCATCTCAAGAAGCTGGAAGAAACAGACTCTCTCTCTTATGGCCTGTTTGGTGAGAAACCATCACCATATAGCTAATTACTGGACTGCTTTGGTTTGGGCTCATTTGACTTTGAATACTTGTAGTAAATAAAACCTTTCTGTCACTCATCAAACTAGGTGTCGTGTCAATCCCTTAGGCTAGTCCAGAATCCTAGGTTTTTTATTTTCTAACACTTCTAACTCAGTCTCAGGCTACCTGGCTACCTGCTGTGCTGTTTTATTTACCTCAAATGTGATTAGTTCAAAGCATAGTCTCGGAAGATAATGTAAGATTTCATGGGGAAAAAACAGAGGAAAGATGTCCTCTGCAGAAGTCACAATTTATACAAGTGATTTGGAAACACTGGATATGACTTGATTGAATATGAGATGCACCTATTTTGTATCTTACTTTCGTTTCTGGTATTTTCTACCAAGAATTCAGACAACATCTTATACTGTGAAATATCCAGTTCTGTTTTTTGCTTCTTGTTGTTGTTTTTTGTTTTCAGTCGGCAGCCACAATATGGTAGTTATTATATATGATTTCACTGAAGTGCCCTAGGGAAACTGAATTCTAACTGGATTTATAGGTGGTCAAACAGGACTCAAGCACCTAGATTTCCCCCTAAATCACAAATGTGATTCTAATTAATCCTACACATTGGGTGCGTCTACACATTAATTAATGCACCGCCTCCTCCCCTCCCCATCATGAGCTGGTGCATGGGTTTTTTTAGATGCTAACGGTGCAGTAGCCTAATACTATTGTGAAGTAGTGTATTAACAGAGGTTTTGCGCGCACTACTGTACAGTGTTATTAGGCTACTTAATAGTTAGCATCTCATGTAGAAGTACCCATTGGCCACAAAAACATTTAAGCACTTAGATTCATTTGGTATGACCACATTGCCTTAAAAAGATATCTAACAATATAAACTTGCCATATTGTGTATTTTTAGAAATGACCTGGATCAGCCACCTAGACACCTTGTTCCCACTTAAGCTCAATATACTGAACATCTGTACATGTCCAGAAGACAATCTTGGGGCTAACCCCAGCTACATGCACCAGCCCTAGGGCTCTG